TGTTGAATGTTAAAATTTTTAAGCTCTCTTCTTGTATTTTAAAAGTTTTAGATCAGAATTTTTCTCCCAGCTTTAATTTTCTTGGGTGAAACTAGCGGCAAACATTTTGGAATTTATTAACAAATAACGAGAATTGACAAAATTATAATTCATAAATAATTTAAAAATAATTGGCAGCGCAACAAACAAATTTGTTATAGCATTCTCATAAAAAATACAAATGTTTTGCAATAAAGGATTAATTGATACTTTTAACAGCCGTGATCGAGGATGAAAATCTCGCAAAGGTGCAAGATCGATCGTCGACGTCGAAAATGATCGATGATAATCGATTGGCGAATGGATAACACGTGGCGAGCACTTGTATTATTCCATAGATCGCCAGACTGCTCAGTATCGATATTAAATACAGATAAATGTATCGCGTGGCTGCCTTTAATTCATCGAACATCGCGGATGACTTATAAATCGCGCGAAGATCGACGTCAAAGTTGATGACAAAGCGACGCGATAACAATGGAGGTGGGAGATGAAGTTGTTTGTTTCTCGCCGACGTAAATTCTTTTTGTAGATTTGTGAAACACGTTCTCGTAGCCTAAGATCCTTGGATCCTCGGATTCTTCGATCTTCGATCGCTTGCAGGTACTGGATTCCTCGGATCTAATTCTTTTATGTAATCCAAATAACTTAACATATTTTTTTTTCGGATAATATGGATTAATAAATTAATTTTAGTTTTTTAGCATTTCAATTTTTTAATCCTCACTTCCTTGCATTTTCTAAATTAATACGATTTTTGAACATTTTGAATATTTTTGGCGTGTTCAGTTATTAATTCTTTCTCTCTTGATTCTAAGTTCTTTTATAATGGAATCTGGTACCCACTTTACTTACTTTAGCTCAGCTACGATTCTTGGACTGAGCCCGCGAATGAAAGTCTTTCATTCGAAGCGGAGCACACGGGCAGTATCGTTCAAAGCTCTCTACTCCTCCCTTAGAATATAAAATCAATACGTAATTATATACATAATTTTTGCTTGCTGTAAACAATAAATATTTAAAAACGATATTACAAATATCAAATTCCAGCGAAAGAATTTGTATAAATTTTTTTTTCTTCACAAAAACGTGAAGAAATTAATTTTTTTATATTCTTAAAATTATTATGTTCCATTTTTATACTTTGTTTAAGAAGCAATTACGTAGATATCGAGTTTTTTTTTTATGAGAGGAAGAGATGGAAGTTGAAAGTTTTGCACGATACTTCAAAAATACACATGCTTATATTTGCGCGCGTATAGATTACGTGTAACAGCATAAACATAATCTGAATCATTCGGAATTTACGTTAGCGAATGTATTACATGATTATAAGTGATATGTCGATACGTGTTGGAGAACGCTCTATGTGAAACTTTGCAATTTTAATATATTTCTATTGTAAGTATACTTGAAGAACCGTGAGAAGAAAGAAAGAAAGAGAGAAATACTAGCACACGACGCGCGAGAGTTATTCGATAGCGTATATAAATATATACATATATATATATATATACATATATTATATATAATAATACAGCGAACTGTCGTGGGGAACCACTTTATACGTATAGGTTGTCACAGTTATGGCCAACTCGAGGAACACTCAAAAGAAAATTTTGAGGATAACTAAAAGAAAAGAACAAAAAAGACCCACGTACAGAGGAAGCAGCAAAGCTCGTCTTCGTTGGCGTTAAGAGTTTTTCCATGTGTCTTATCTCATCTCGTACTTCGTTCGCGATCATCTTACCTTCGAGCGTGATGCGCTTGGGTCGCAAAATTATCGGAATCTAGGAATCCACGGGTTCCCCTGGATTTAAAAAGTCCTACGTGGAGGGCCGTAGATCTTAAAATTGCTATGAGACCTTAGGCTCCTTAGATCTGGCACATTCCTAGATCGTTCGACCGCTGTTATTTCTTTAAACCATCGCATTGTTAACTTCTCAGATCCTCGAGTCATCAAATCTCAATACTTTGATTTTCAAGGGTCATGTGAATGTAAAGATAATCAGAATGACGTGAGAAGGGGGGAAGAACGAAGGGGAGGGAAATACAAACAGAATAAAACAATTTAGATCTGTCGGAATGATCGTACAACTTTTTTTTTCATTGTAAAAGAACGTATGCTTTTGCAATTGAAAGTTTCTGCTCCCAAAAACTATTTGATGATAAAAAAAAAACCCTTTACAGGTTTCTGGTCTTGTAGTGCCACTTTACATAATAATGAATAATAATAATGATAAAACCACAAATAATACTAACATTAATATTTACAATAAAATAATAATGGTAAAAGGAATAAAAGAATTGTTATACATAAGTTGGAACTGTTGTTTCTGGTACATGCAGATACTATACACACACACCGACACACATGCATACATACACTTGAACTAAGAACATGGCCTTTGTCGTTTATTTATATGTAGTCTTTTCCTAAGACCCTTTCTTGCATACAATGCAATGTCCATTTATTCAAACAGAAAATTAGCTCGCGTAATTATTAAGTACTTCATATTTTGTACTCGAACTTTATGCATTTCTTTTTAAATAGGACGCATAAATTTGCGCGCGGATCCTTCAAATTTTCCTCAATTTCTTCAGATATCTTCGAATATCTTCATATTATCTTGATACTACTCTTAACACATTCACCGGTGACCGATACTGAGCTTTCCGTTCACGTCTCGTCGGTCATCAGTGACTATCACGGGATACGACATTAATTAATATATCGTGTATTATATTTTTGCGCAATTCAATGCCATAAATTTACTATTATAAGTTAAATGTTTTATTGTTCTTTTCAGTATAAAATAATTCTATTAGTGTGAGTGAGAAATCACGTGAAATACGTTTGGCGGTGAGTGTGTTAATATAATGTTTATACTATCATATTATTTACTATTAAGTATTTATTATTAAGCAATTTATATCATCTACGACACTTGTAAATGTTTCCGATCATATGAAATGTTATCAATGTTGAAGAAGGCTTTATTTTATTAATAAGGGATTTTTGCGATATTATTCCTACTTGTGCAATTCGTTATAGTATATCAGATTGATATAATTGTGATTCTTCCATCAACATAATAACGCGACCACGACCTATCGATCGATCGATCTGCAGCGAGCAACTGACGATCACCTTAAGAGAGAGATCTAGCATAAGCAACCTCGCATTATGATTACCTCTGTGTATCTGCATGACCGCATTACAATAACCTTTTACTACTTTTAAAGGAAGGAGAACTTAGTCACTACGTACGATATAGCAGAAGAGAAATTTTATACAGGTGTTCCAAAAGTATGTGCCAAAGAGGAAAATCGAGATTGTGTATCGAGAGTACTCGATGCTTGTATTCTGTCTCCGCGACGACAATCTTTTTCCCCAATACAAGAAATCTTCATACTTAATCATTAATTATTAATTCTTATTAAGAATGATTAAGAACACTACTTAACTCTTCTTTTAAATTTACAAACGTTTGAATTTTTTGTTTTTCAAATTCTTTCATCCTGAACTCTTCGAACGTATGGATTTCTATTTGAATAATAATGTTCACATGGATTTTTCTTTATTCTACAAATCCCGTTACTCGTGCAATCCCGAAGCTAAATGAGATAAATGTCTTTTTATAAATAAGTTGCAACGTCGCGCGAAACTTTCGGAGCACTTTGTATAAATATTCATAC